TCTGTTTTCTAACCTGCAGAATGGGAATAATAACAGTCCCTGCCTCCTAGCAATGTCGTGAAGAGCACATGGGTTCATGTGTGTAGTGGGGCTTAGAGCAGTGCCTGGCACTTGTGGCTCTGTGAGGATTCGCTTAAAGAAAAGCAAGCAAACTAAAAGCTGACCCTGGAGTTCTGATTCTCTGCTGTACATGGGGCGCCACGCATCTTCTCTGCATTCTTCTGAGAATCAGATGAGATTATCACATGTAGAGGCCCAGCACAGCGCCTTTCACAGGCTCAGTTGTCAGAAGGTGGTAATCCTCTTCCTCTAGAAGTCATTCATTCCGTAACATTTGCATGCGTTCTGTGCGAACTGTCCTGCTGGCCGCTGTCAGGTATTTGGAGATAAACACAGGGTGAAACCTGCCTTTAACCAGTTGAGTAGCTACCCTGAGGGAAAAAATCCCCACAAAAACCAAATAAACCTTAAGATCACTAGGTATCCAGTAATCAGTACAGCTGCTAAACCAGGAGTGGATTTTGGTAATTAGGGAAGACTTCAGTGAGGAGGAGCCAGCTGGGGTGCTTGATTAGAGAGGACTGGAGGAAAGAGGAGATGAGTATTCACGTTTGGAAAGACTGTCAAGTAGAAAACATGGTTAATTCAGTCTGTGAAGATCCCAAAAAGGAGAGACTTTCCAACAATTGCAACTCTCTGCTCTGGGAGTGTTTTGCTTTCTGAGGCGCTAAGAGAGCTGTGTTTTGAGAATCCTTTGGTTACAGTTTCAGGTGAACAGAAAACCACATCGATTAGCTTAACAACATAATGAAATGAAAATTTATTAGAAGGATACAAATATTTCGTGGTATTCAAGTGCAGCCTAATTTCCCGAGTAGCTAACAGTAGGCCAGGGAAAGCCTCAGCAGCGTGGTTGGCGTCCGGGAGACACTTGCTCTCCTGGGGCTGCCCGCCTGAGTGTGCCGGTTTATGAGGGTGTCGCCTCTGTTCTTCCTCCAGGCTGGCTTCTGTCCTTGCTTGCTCTCGCGGGGCTGCCCGCCTGAGTGTGCTGGCTTATGAGGGTGTCGCCTCTGTTCTTCCTCCAGGCTGGCTTCTGTCCTTGCACCCCTGTGTTTGCACTTGCGCTGGCTGCTGCGTTTCCGTATTTTCAGTTCAAGAGACCATCCCAACGGAATCATATTTCTTAGTCTTCAGGTGAAAGATAGAGGAATGAAGACCTGATGGACCCGCTTGGGAGAGGGTGGTTCAGTGAACCACTACCTAGCAGTGGGAGGCGGCGTGCAGGGCCTTGCAGTAGAGCAGTGGCTGCTGAAAGTCACCCTGTGGTTGAGGCTGCTGTTCTCACAGGGGAGGATGGACAGGTACCTTGGCTATGGCCACGACAAACTCCCAGGTTTTGGAGGGTTTTGCCCAGAGGCCTCCTGGTCGCACCATAAAGGGAGCTCAGGTTTTAGGTGACGAGTTAGGATAGATGCATCCTTAGGTCGTCTTCAGTTATTTTGATGTTGTTAGGTGGAACCTAAGTGAAATCTCATTCCTTTTTAAATTAAATATGAATAGCTGGCCAAGTGTGGTGGCTCACGCCTGTAATCCCAGCACTTTGGGAGGCCGGGGTGAGTGGATCATGAGGTCAGGAGATTGAGACCATCCTGGCCAACATAGTGAAATCCTGTCTCTACCAAAAATACAAACATTAGCTGGGCATGGTGATGCACACCCTTAGTCCCAGCTACTTGGGAGGCTGAGGCAGGAGAATCGCTTGAACCCGGGAGGCAGAGGTTGCAGTGAGCCAAGATCATGTCACTGCACTGCAGCCAGGTGACAGAGTAAGACTCCGTCTCAAAAAAAAAAAAAAAAAAAAAAAAAATGCATAGCATACATTTTACCTTTTTAATAACCCTTTTTGAGTGTAAAATTTAGTGTCATTAGGTATATTCACTATCCATTTCCAGGACATTTTCATCATCCCAAACTGTTAACTCTGAACCCCATTAAATAATAACCCTACATTCTCCCCCGCCACTAGCCCTGGTAACACTGTTGTACTTTCTGTCTCTAAGAATTTGACTACTCTAAGTACTTTGTATAAGTAGACTCATATATTTGCCCCTTTTTATCTATTTTAACATAATGTTTTCAGGGTTTGTCCATGTTGCAGCATGTAACTGAATTTTAATCCTTTTTATGGATGAATCATACTTCACTGTATATGTATACCACATTTCATTTATTCGTCATTCATTTTCCACCTTTTGACTATTTTGAATAATGCTGTCAGCCCCTGCTCCCCTTTTTTTTTTTTTTTGAGAATCAGGGTCTCACTCTGTCACCCAGGCTGCAGTACAGTGACTCAGTCATGGCTCACTGCAGCCCCAAACTCCTGGGCTCAAGTGATCCGCCCACCTCAGCCTCCTAAAATGCTGGGATTATAGGCATGAGCCAACTTGCCTGGTCCATTTTTAAAGTATAGATGAGATCGCTTAGAATCAAGAAATTGGTTAATAAAAAAGACCTTAATGAAAGGTGATGTAATCCAACTTCTTCATTTCATAGAAGGGAAAACTGCCCCGCTGGGAAGAGTGAGCTGCAGGCGCCACATCCACCTGCTTTAAGCTCCTTTACATTTCTCTGCCCCCTTGCCTAAAATTATGAGAGCTTTGGTCAGTCAAGATGCATGACTGATAACAGATAAGTGATGAATAAATGAGTGAAGAACTTCAAGTAATTGCCGACAGCAGCAGATCTCACACTGTTTGGTCTCAAAATATATTTTGAAGACCTTAAAGAACTTTAATTATGATTATGTCTGTAGGTACTTACCATATTAGAATTAAAATTGGCAGATCTTAAGATATTCATTAAAATATCCATAAACCCATTGTGTTAACATAAGTAACATATATTTATGAAAAGTAACTGCATTTAGGAAAATATGATCATTAGAAGAGTAGCATTGTTTTAGATTTTCGCAGGTTATCTTTAGTATCTGGCTTAGAAGATAGCTGCTTGTCATATTTACCTCTTCACTCAGACTGTGAGATGTTATGGTGGAAGTCCATGGAGATCCGACCTCCCACAGATGTGCAGTTGGGAAGTTTTTCAGATGTCGATATTCTTCCTTGATACTACACCAAACCTCAACAAGTGGTAGTTTCCTAAGGGTCGGATATTTGTGATGTGGTGTCTGAAGCTGTGCCGTCCTCAGTTACTTTAGAATATTTTAGTTTATTATGCACTTTAGGTGGATCTTTTTACCCATATATGATTTCATAGCATCATGGTTCACTGAGTTGTGCAGATCTTCCAAATAAATGTCGACATATGACATCATGCAATGTAAGTCACATAGATCACATTTGTTAATGTCACTGCTGATCTCATTAGAAAAGCCTCAAGTATTAGAAGGCAGTAAGCTCTTATGGGGTGGATACAAAGTTTCAAAAATTCATCTTTTCACTTGGAATCTCCACTTTTATTCCCTTCCGCAAATGCTGTCAGTTGTTGACCTTGAAATGATGAGCCCAAGTGCTCATTCTTGAGAGCATGTCTGCCAGGGACTCCAGTCCAAGTCATTGCAGTGTGCCTGTCATTCGCTGTCTCAAGTAAAGATAGTGCTGTGTGTAGCAAGTGGCTTTGGATGGCTGGCACCTCAGACACTCACAAGAGTGATTCTTCTCTAGACGGCTGTCACACTGCATGTGCGGAAGGCTTCTGTGTGCTTCCTGTGCCATTCAATGGGATGTTAAAAAGGTGTGTCTTCAAAGGCTGACATTTAATAAAAGCCACGAGTTTTTACTGCTTCATCAAAGGCACTCCTAAGTGAAGGTGGCTTTTTTTTTTTTTTTTTT